AAAATATCCCAGGCCAAAAGAGGATGGAAACAAGCCATGTCAGCTCCGTGATAGGGAACAATCCTCTGTCTAAAAGTCACCTTTGGCCGCGGGGCGGTGCAATCTGACCCTACCTTGAAAGCAAAACATTGTAAAGAAGGCAATTCCTTGGCGGAGCCCGAAGTTTCAAGAAACTAAGCAACAGGCTAAAGAGCAGGAGCAGAGGCCACCAGACGTCAGGCGAGAAGATCATTCTTCTTGAAGGACAGCAATTAATTCTCACTTTTCATTTGTGCCTATAGGAGTAAATTCATCTTATCTAGAGCAAACAAAAGTCAGTGGAAGCAAAAACGGGAAATAAATGGCCCAGCCATTAGTTACTGTTCGTTCCCAATTTCCCAATATCACATTAAGTGGCCAAGCTGTTTGTTTAAGTCACTGACAATATTGGGAAACTGAAACCAGCTGGGCATTCAAACAGGAATTACAGTAACTGTTGGTTACTGTTATTGTCCCAAGGCCTCCATTAGCACTCACAGTGAGTTCCCATTTCAAAAACTTGCTCTTTTCTGTTTCTCAAAAAAACAAAAAGACTCTTAGCCTTCCCATTACTTTAAAACCACACACCCCAAACGTCTGATTTTCATTCAGCAGCCACACTTTTAACAATGTGATATTCCTCCATCATGTATTAGTGAATCCGAAAATTAAAAAATAAATAAATTCAACTCTCCTTGAGCTACAGTCATAATGCAATGTAGTTAGTGACACCTTTGATGTTGGGGACGGAAGGCATGATAAAATAATGAGTTATTTCAAAAGCCTGATTCATTGTTGTTGTTTTTCTAATTGCCCCTTTGCAGGCCAGTTCTTTGGAAGGAGGATTTTTGGGTTTGTGGAGCGTTCATTTTCATTAGACAACATCTCCGAAGCGGAGCTGTGACCCACGTCAGGACGATCCGGGCCTTTTTGCCCTGCAGTGTCCAGATTTGAACAGAACAGCACTATATGAGCCTTTGGAAAATAAACAGAAACTTTTCCTACCCCATCTATTTCCTTTTAAAGAAAAAACCTATATATTTTGGAAGGGTGACATCCTCCCCTCTTTCTCTTGGGTTGGTGGGAGGAATCGATTAATCCAAGGCATGAGGCGTTTGCTCCGGAAGAGTTGGACCTCTGGTCTACCAGAAAGGAGGTACATAGGTGATTATTTGAAGGACGATTGAATAATTGCATTTAAAAGCTACTCTTCCAAACTCCAGTCATGGGAGGGTAGCCTCGTTTCCTGGATCTATAGGTGCTGGCGGGGAACCAGAAATCTCAACTGAATATAATGGGGAAACTAAAGTTTTATTTCCAAGTAAATACGTTTGTCTATAGGAGGAAAAACTAAAATAAAAATAAAGCAAATAAATAAGACAAAAACGTTGTGGCCCCTTGGAGGTTACAATAGTTTCATGTGAGCTTCCACGATTGGTATAGGCCCGCCTGAGACCAAGAGGAACTTTATTGGGTGACCCAGGTCAAAACTGTCTTTCACACGTACACACGCATACACGTGTGTGGCAGAAGTGGGTCTGAAAAGGGCAAAAGGAGGTAACACAGGTGGCTAGGCTGGACCAGCCAAAGCAGAGAGAGGGAGAAAGAGGTTGTTTCCTCTTCGTTCCGTCTGCAACCACCCCAAAGACACGTGTCGCCAGGGCGACACCCTTCCCTCGCCCTCAATTCTATTGACACGCGAAGCGCGACAAAGGCATTTTGTTGAGGGAAAGAGGCCAACGCGCATGCGCCAGCGAGGCGAGGCGAGGGCCTTCCCCCCCTTTTATTGTCACCTTCCGCCTCTCTGCAGCGCATGCGCACAACCACCCTCTCTTTTGTTCGCCCCCTCGGCGGCTCCGGCCGCTTCCAAATAAGGCGTCGTGCGAGCCGAACCCACAAGCCCCGCCCCGCTCGCCCCTTGATTTGCCCTTATATGGGCATGTGGAGCAGATAGGGCGAGAAAGGGAAGGGAAGCCGGGCCACGCCTGGCTCAGGAGCGCCCTCTGGCTGCCGCGCCGGTGGTACTGCAAGGCTTCCCGACGGGGCGTTGTCTTAACGAGGAGAAAGAAGAAGGAATAAAATAAAATAAAATACTGTAAAATCAGCCTGGATGGTGTTACTTTCATAGTTGCAAAATAAGGAGGCAGGCTGGTTAATGGCTTTGCTGCCATTTCAGGGCATAACTTGCATTTATTTATTGCAGAGGGAAAAAAAGGATTTGACAGCACATAGAAAAAATTAAAATTAAAAAACTGAATTCTTTATAAAGGGACGGTGCAGACGGTCTTCCTGCCTTTTCGTCTTCAAGTATTTCTCCTGCTTTGTAAAGCCCCCCGGTGGGTACCAAGGCTGGCCTTCCTATCCCATCCCTTGCCTCAGAGAGGACAAGTTAGAGATCTTACATTTCCACCTGTCATGAAACTATTAAAAGTGGCCCACACTATTTTTTTGTCCGGGTTTCTTATATGCAGGTAGAATCGCTCCATTTTGGTTCCTTTCCAAGCCCAGGATTGCTGGGCTTGAACAAAAGTAGAGTTTCCTGTTTGAATGCCCTAGCTGGTTTCAGTTTCCCAATATTGTCAGTGACTTAAACAAACAGCTTGGCCACTTAATGTGATATTGGGAAATTGGGAAATGAAAAACCTTCCTTCTTCTGCTGCTCCACGGAGCAGAGGGAGGAGACAAAGGCCTTTTTAATCCTAATAAAACGCAGGCGATGAGCTGAACCTTTTTTTAAAAAATGAAAATTTGAAAACTTTCTCCTGGGAGGAGAAGGAAACAGGAGGGAGAAAGGAGGGCAATTCTTATTTTTTTTTATTTTTATTTTTAAGAAAGGTGGACCAAAGATGGTCACTATATACCACGTGGATGTAAAGATCATACCCATGGCATACCAGATCTCTACCTGATATTAGGTGAACCTATTTAACCAGCGCCAGCCACGTGGCTAAGCCTTTAGAAACGTTTGATGAGATTTCCGCTTGTCACAAAAGTATTAACAGCAGAAGATTTCGGGATGAATCAAAAGCGGACCGCGCCAAAGAACATTTTAAAAAAATCCATGCAATGCTGCCTGCCGTTTTAACTTGTCTTTTGATATCTAACAATAACAACCTCAAATAAGGTCTGATGAACTCACTCCTTTCTAACGCCGACTCGTTACTTCATTAAATAGAGTATTAACGATCAAGTACCGCAAACGCTGCAGGAGGAGGAACAAGACGCAGGTGTCACTGAAAATCTCATACTTGGCACTGATTCTGCTAACATCCACAGAAATGGATATTTGGGACGGTGTCCTCAAAAGAACCTTTAATAAATACAGCCCTTTATCTCTGCAAATGCAATCGCAACCCTTGATTGCTCCCACATTAACTGTGGATGATGGGAACTGTTACCCAAAATACCTGGGGAGTGTCACCTAGGTAGTAGAAAACTAGATTCGTTAAATTCACCCCTTTTGTTATCAATATTTTTGGGGTTTTTGATGTTTTATTATATCGACGGACAATCCAGAATTTAAAACCAGAGAGGACTTTACACAGGGAAGACACCTTTCCGCAGGGATCCGTGAATATTACAAATACAACACTTTTTCATCTTTGGCAAAGCCGATGCATGGGAATTTGAGGCATTCAACCAAGCGCCCCTGGACCGTCTTCGCCCTACCGCGACGTGCCAACAAACCGGATTCTCCATGAATCATAGACGGATCGTGACACCAACTTTGGAGAACTAGAGCCAAACATGATGAGACGCAGGACGGATTTTCTCGGCAGACGAACACGGCTGCCAGAGAAACACACAGGGCTATTGAGAAAGGATTTCTTCACAGCGGGGGCCAAAGGCCACGACAGACAAGCAGTCCAGTCTACGACATTTTCTAGACCACACCGAGATGTATAATGATTAATGCACAGTGTCTATTCACAAGAACTGTAACAAACAGCCTCACATCGGTTCTTTGGCCATGCTAATTTGCTTTTGTCTGCGGTGCGAAAAGAACCTTGGTCCAGATCAAGGAAGAAATGGGTAGAATCGAACTTGCCAATAAACCCAACCATCAAAAAGTTACTACTGTGCGGGCTACACATATTTACACAAGTACCCACTTGGTATAGCGATGGAGCAGGACTCGGGAGATCTGAGCTTGAATCCACACTAGACCATTAATGGAAATTCAGTGGTTAAACCATTCTTTAAACCTCATTTACTTGCAAAACCCTTTTAGGGTCCACTATGATAGGAATGCGAGTCGATAAATAGGGACCACCTCGGTGGGAAGGTCACGGCGTCCCGTGTCTAGTTGCGCTGGCCACGTGACCATGGGTACTGTCTATGGACAAACGCTGGCTCTACGGCTTGGAGACGGGGATGAGCACCGCGCCCTAGAGTCAGGCATGACTGGACTCAATGTCAAGGGGAACCTTTACCTTATGATATGAATGCAACTTTATGACATTAGACACATACAAGGCCCATTGGCTGAAATCCTGTTGCTATCAATGATGCCATGCATACCTGAATTATGTCGTCAACCGTTATGTGTGTAATCATAGCTGTGTGCCATCCACTCCATTCCAACTGACGGTGAGTCTTTCTAGGGGTTTTCTAGCTAGACAGCCCTCAGAAGCGGTTTCTCCTTCGCCTCTCCCGGAAGGCCCAACGGGGGGAATCGAACCCCCAACCTTTGGCTCCATAACCAGATGTGGAATTTACTAAATAGACATGCAATAAAAGCTAAATATAGATAGAACAAGGACGAAACAGCACTCCAAGGGTTTTCTGGATCTGTTGGAGGGAGGCCGTGGATCACGGAAAGATATCGTGTATACACTTATAAGCGTCACTAAAAAATAGTCCTAAGGCTATAGGTATGTGCATTTTAGGGATCAAACACATCTCTTGTAAAGGGATCCAGAAAAGCTTTGGAATGCTGTTTAGTCCTCTGTTTAGATGGGCAGCCGGCCAGCCGGCCAGACTGGGCTGAACGATTTGTGTTTGCTGCAGGAAGGAAGAGAAACCGGCGCACTGCCATCGGAAGGCACCCTTCCCCTCCCTCCTCGGTGGCCAAAGGGGTCCTCTTGCAGCCGCCCGGATGGCGCTCCAGCTCTACCTCGACCTGGTCTCCCCGCCCTGCCGCGCAGTTTACATCTTTGCCCAAAAAAACAACATCCCCTTTGATTTGAAGCCCGTGGACCTTATGCAAGGTGAGTCAGCAGGCTGCAGAGAAGCTAGCGCACGGAGAGTTCATGGGAGAGAGTAGGGAGAGCAACATCCTTCCTGGTTTGGGACTGGCCACTGGAACGAGGCAGAGGATGATGTTGTTTTTTTTAAAGCTCCTTTAAAGATCCTGGGCATGGGTTAGGAGCAGTGGTGGGATTCAGCAGGTTCGCAAGCAACATCCTTCCTGGTTTGGGACTGGCCCCTGGAAGGAGGCAGAGGATGATGTTGTTTTTTTTTAAGCTCCTTTAAAGCTCCTGGGCATGGGTTAGGAGCTATTGAGCTGGTCGTGGGGTTGATGGTAAGGGAATTGAGGGCAGGGGATCAATGGGGAGGCATTAACGGTGGTATGTCTGTGTGTACATTTTCTGCGTCTTGCTTGGTTTAGAGCCGGACCGGAGATGGCACAGGTATGTCATGGGAGCGTGGGCCTTTCACAATAGCCAGGCATCCAGCGGGAGAGAACAAGGAGGTGCTCTGCACCTACTGGCTAGTACCCGTGTCGTCCCTAAACAGCCACTGGATGGTCAAGGATTTTGCAGAAGGGTGGGAGGGCAAAACCAGTTCCCCCAAGGCAGTGGGATTCAAATGAACCAAGAAGCCCAGAAGGCTGGGCTTGTCCATGGACCACTGGCTACGTTGTACAGCCCAAATGTACACTTGAAAATGCTCTAGAGTTCGGACAGACAGAGGACTGTCAAGCTTCTGACTTCACAGTACAGTATGCACCAAGATGATGTGCCTACAATAAAAACCCACTGTGCCTACACTTTCTCCCGTACATACCCTTTCACGGGGTATAAAAAACTTTAATGTTGAACTCTTAGAATGTCCTCAAACGTAGCAAAGACATTCAACCTCAGCAGCCTTCGATCAGACCGGTCAGTAATTTTCACCAAAAATCTGAAATAAATTATGATGTAATTGTCTGAAAGATCCATTTTATAAGCACGAGAAGTTTGCAATGAATTGGGAATTTCCTCCTCGCTTGACTTCAATATCATCTTAATTCCTTTTTTCCCCCCTCTCAGCCCTATTTGCCCTTTCTCACTCTATAGCCTGAAAAAACGTGTCCTCATTAAAGAATGTTCCTGTGTGGATTATCTTTGGATCCCTACTGAATTTTAAATTTGAATGAGTTTAAGAATATGCCACACGACAGTCTATACAGCCTGCATCTCATACAACATTGCAATCTACAAAACTCACATTGAAACCATATTTTTTCAAAGGGATTCAAGAAAACACAGACCGCTCAATGTAACATCTGTTGGGGTGAATTGGTGGAAGGGTGTTATTAAAAATAAAACCCGAAAGTATATAGAAGTCTTGCTGGCTTCTAGAAAGGTAAATCCTATCTTTCTAGCCTGTTCGGCTTCTTTGAGAATAGATTTGTAAAAATGTCAACATGGGGTACTTAGTTGATATTGGTAAAGGAGTTAAAAGCTGTTCCAAAGTCCAGGTAAATAAAGACTCTTGAGCATACTTAACTGGCTTAGGATAAGAAGAGAAGTCCATTTATAGGTGAACAACGGGTTAAAGGACAGGAAACAAACAGTAGGAAAATGAATCATTGGCAGGCTATCAACAAACACTGACTGCCTTGATACCAGTGTTTCCTAGCATGTTGCTAAATAACCTTGAGCAATAGCTGAGCAACAAGCTGGCTTTCTTTCCTGACCACACCAGATGATTCAGGGCGGTGAAAACAACAAGGGACAGAGAAAACTCCAACGTAATTGTTCCAAACGGGAGAAATTGGCATCAGTACTGACTAGAGAAAAATAAAGAGAAGATGGAAACAATACACTGAAGACTTATACAGAAGAAATCAAAGGACGACAGACTTCTTTGAAGAGGAATCCCATGATGAAGAACTTGCAATTCTTGGCGTGAAAACTTCTTGGAAAGCAATGGGAAGGAATAAATCACCAGGGGCAAAAGGAAGACCCACAGTACTACTGAAAACCACAGAGAACGAATCGGTCAAAATCCTAACAAGAATATGCTAACAAATATGGAAAACAATACAAACTGGCCCAGAAAGTGTTCAATATCAATATACAGTACATTCCAATCTCCAAAAAAAGAAGATACCAAGGCATTCAGTAACTATAGGACCGTTGCTTCGCCAATCTCCAAAAAAAGAAGATACCAAGGCGTTCAGTAACTATAGGACCGTTGCTTCAATTTCCCATGCAAGCAAAGTGAGAATTGCCTGATGTTCAAGCTGGATTCCCAAAGGATATCCTATTGCAAATGCCCACTGGCTACTGGAGTGCACTTAAGAATTTCATATCATTCTATGCTTTATAGACTCCAGCAGACTTTGACCGTGTGGTTCAGGAGAAACTATGTTTTTTTTCCTGAAAGAAATGTGTGCACCTCAGCAGGAAAATGAGCATTCAGGCTTGTATGTGTCTTGTTAAATCCTCTCCACCGCACACCTAGTGCTTGTTATGGCTTGAAACTGAACTACAAACCTCTCCACGTTGGCTGAAGCGACCACACCACATTGAACTGATGGAAATGCAATCGAGTCCAAAAAAAAGTAGAAATCCAAGTACAGTAGTGAAGAAAACACAGTACAGATGGGGTGGGGGACTCCCGGCTGGTTTGTATGGACTCGTTTGTCCTGCAGTCAAAGGAAGATCATAGAAATCTCACTATCGCAGTCCTGAAGCAATTCCCATATTATTTGTCAACGCAGGCGCCCCCTAGAACTCAAAAAAGAACTGAGGTATAATACTTCTTTGACTGTGGGAACTCACCAGGAATTTCTTTATCATTTGACATAACTTGAAGCCCCTATTAGGGTCGCCATAACTCAGAAGCTCCTTGTATAACAACTGTTGCCGTTGGGTGGTAGAAGAATTAGTCTGTTGGGGTGCACCAATAAACATGGAGTACCACTATGTTGTTGTTTTGTTGTTGTTTAGTCGTTAAGTCGTGTCCGGCTCTTTGTGACCCCATGGACCAGAGCACGCCAGGCCCTCCTGTCTTCCACTGCCTCCCAGAGTTGGGTCAGATTCATGTTGGTCACTTCGATGACCCTGTCCAACCAACTCATCCTCTGTCGTTCCCTTTCTCCTCTTGCCTTCACACTTTCTCAAGATCAGGGTCTTTTCCAGGGAGTTTTCTCTTCTCATGAGATGGCCAAAGTATTGGAGCCTCAGCTTCAGGATCTGTCCTTCCAGGGAGCACTCAGGGTTGATGTCCTTCAGAATGGATAGGTTTGTTCTCCTTGCAGGCCAAGGGACTCTCAAGAGTCTCCTCCAGCACCACAATTCAAAATGTACTATGTGCCACTATGTACACTATGTACACTTTACATACTTGTACCACTATGTACACGTTACCTACTCACTTTACTCACTACAGTACGTACACTTTAACCCCCAGTCCCCACATGGCTCAGTACCAAAAAATGTAAAATACACGCGTGCAGCTGCTCCACCAGAAGATTCAGAACAGCTTGCTTTTTGAGGATGGCATATTGACCTATGCATGCTTGCGCACAGTTAAATGGGTTGCAAGCCAACACATGCCCAGGGTCAAACTCCTGGCTTTACAAGCCTATTTCTGGCTTCATCTCCAGGCCGTGAATGGCTTGTGCTCCATTAAAGGCATCGTTTCCCTTGACGATGTAAATGTGGAAAATAACTTTCGCTAGGCATTCCGAGTTCAAACAGGATTCCTCTTCTCCATCTTTCTAGGGCAACAGATGGGAGAGGACTTTGGCAAAGTGAACCTGTTGCAGAAAGTGCCTGCCATGAAAGACGGGGATTTTACTTTAGCGGAGAGGTAAGGATTCGGTCTTGCTCTGGGCCAGAGATGCTCAGCCTTGACTGAGAAGGGACCTCTTAGGACCTCCGCCGTCTCTAGGTGCTATCAGGCAGGGAGGAAGGATAGTACTATCTGATCCTGCTGGAAAGGACCGTTTGGCTGGGAACAATCTCACTTAAAGCGACCCATCTGTCCACGCAGGGATTGCTCCAGCCTGACCCTGAAAAAAAAATTAGTCCTGCTGTTGGATCAGAAAGGTCCAGCTAGAAAAAGCTACTGGAAAATAGCTTGCATTGGATCAGGCCACAAGCCGTCCAAAATGCAAGCTAATTCCCCAATCGGATCACACCCTGTTTTCTTCCTTTTACATTTTGAAATTGATTTTCAGGATCTTGCTAGGAGATCATTCTGTGAAGTTTTCAGACCCTTCAAAAGAGCTGAGAGGGAGCCAGAGAGAGGCTTCTTGAACACAGCTGGAGTTTGAGGGTGCAAGCTAGCCATCCTCTTGTTTGCACCTTGTTGGGTAGTTCCCTTGAAACCATACCTCCTGCAGCTACGTACAAGAGAACTGCAAACAAGGTTTTCTTCCTCTTTCCCTCTGTGGCTATCAAGACGAATAAACCTGATTTCGATCTTACGACAGCCTTGCGGCACAGAGGCTTCTGTGGCTGAACCTGCAGCACCACCACGTCCCGCATTCCTAGTGGCCTTTCCTAATTCCCTTGCTCACAATTTGTGGTCTTCTCCTCTGCCGGAACAGCACTGCTATCCTTTTGTACCTAACAAGAAAATTCAAGACCCCAGACCACTGGTACCCTTCCGACCTGCACAAACGAGCCCGTGTGGATGAGTACCTTTCTTGGCAGCACACGACGGTCCGCGTCCACGCCAGCAAAGTCTATGCAGCCAAGGTGAGTGAGGGGTACGGGAAGGTCATCTCCTTAGCGCAGCAGCTCCGAGTCAGAGGATAGTCTGCGGAACTGCTTCCCTCCTGACCTAGCCTGTCTGTGATGTGTATTGTTTATTGATCAACCCAACACATGTTCTTCATTTTAAACATAAATATGTGCTTCTGGTTGGGTTAACAAAGCAGTAAGAAATACTAAAAAAATTACAGTGCCAAGGAAATTAGAAAACTAAGCAAACACCAATGGAAAGGGACAAATGGAAGCAGGTCCGTTAAAAGAGTCATTAAAAAAAGGCAACAACTGAGCTAAACATGCTGGCATAGGTAGACCTGAAAATCAAAGGGGAGGTGGGCCTCCCTGGGCTGCTCCCCTCCAAAGACAAGGGAACTGTGCCTGTGAAGTTGCACTGGGGAATTTCAGTTTTCCCAAGGCTCTTTGCATTAAGCGGCGACTCAGGGAGCCAGGAGAAAAGCTTTGTTTGCAGCGGCACTGAAGATCCGTAAGAGGTTCAGTTAAAAAGGAACTGCCTAGTAAGCTGCAAACAAGGTTTCCTCCTCTCGTTTTCCTCCATTCATCTTGCCAAGGCAGAGAGGCTTGGCTCCCCTTTAGCTGTTTTTTTAAAAAAGAAATGTCTTTAACAAGCTTTGCTCACTATTCTTATGCCTATGGGTTGATGCAGCGGCTTTTCCGCATCGGTTCAAACCATTGCACGACTGAATGGATCTGGGTTAAAAAAAAACCTACATGCAAACGTACAAAAAAACCTTAGAAGCTCCAAGGGCAGAGGGGAAAACTATGGCTGGGTGGGGGGACGCCTCCAACCTGATTTGCATTTCCTTTTGAGTCATAGGGTCAACAGGGAAAAAATGTGAATCAGCCTGCCCTAAACCCATCACATTTCCCACATTTCCCCCTCTGGTGTAGTCACACTGTTATTCTCTTTGATAGAGAATAATGCCGTTCGCTACCTTTAAAGCAAAAGAATCCTAGCCCGGCAACTGGGTACCGAGAAGACAATTGTGGGGCCAATATGAACCAAACTCTCCCTATAGGTCTAACCAGCCCCAGAGGGACCCATGGGTCTGATTGCAAAGCTGGATGGGTGGGGAACCCATGCGAGGTAGGGCCCTTTTCGGCTGATCTTCCACCGTGCAATTAGAGAAGTCCCTTGGCGCAACTCAACGGAGGAGTGGAAGGACATGGGAAGCTCCCCTCCGCCCATGAGGCCACCCTGCCTTGGTGTGCGGAGAATACATCTCCCCAGCGTTCAAGCGTCATTGGGATTTCCCATCTGCCCCAGATCCTCTGCTCTATCTCCTACTAACCATGGGGCACCAGAATTGCTTTGGGTTGTAAAAGGTGTGCCGTTCCTCTCTTATCTACCCCCTTCCACCCCTCCCTTGGACAGGGTTTAGTGCCCCTCTTCCTGGGCCACCCCCTTCCGCCCGAAAAGCTGGACGAACGCATCGGGGATCTGAATGGGGACCTGAAGCTCTTCGAAGCGAAGTTTCTCCAGGACCGGCCATTCGTGACTGGCAAGGAAATCTCCCTGGCCGATTTGGTGGCCTTTGTGGATCTCATGCAGGTGAGCTCCGGAGGCCAGGTGCCCCCCCCCAGGTGCCTAGAAGGCTTGGAGGGAAGATGGGAGCCTTGATTTTTAGTTCCTGGCTAAAGTTGAGCCACCACAACTCCTTGGGCGAGGGACAGCCAGGATCAGGTGTTCCTATGTTCCGGGGGGTGGGAAAGGGGACACTCGAAATAGGCCCAGGGACCAGACCGCCTTCCTCTTGGAGAACGTATAAGTCCTTAATGCTTCTTAGTTTAAGAAAATCCAGCCAAAGGGAGACACACACACCCCAGTTCTCTTTCCTAAACAAGAGACTCAGCTTTCAATGCATCCTCATCCACTCGGGACCACATAAGGAGGACGAGCGCTTAAAAAGTGGACTACAGAAACCACAAAAGGGTCCCGAGACACAACACACACACAGCACTGTGGTCTGGCACTGTGTCCTTTGTGCCGTGCGTTTACGAGGTGGCGGCGGTGGTCACGGAATTGTTTTCAGCCAGGGCTTTGAGTCCACGCGCTCGCTCCCGGCTTGCAGTAATTGCCCTGCGCCATCTTCCTTCCTTGGATCGTGCAGAATAGGTCCCATTTATAAGCCTCCTTTCCTCTGATAGGCACAAGGGGGCATGCATGTCTCTCCTCCCCACATGTGCCCCTCAGGACAGCCCTACCTCTGTGAGATACGTAGGTGGGTCAGACTGAGAGCGTGGTTGACCCAAGGAGTGAATTTCAGGGTTGTTTGGGAGATTTGAATCGGGTCTTCTGCGTCCTAGTCCAACGATGACACCCCGCAACTGAAGTTGCTCTACAAAGGCCACATGCCACCGAATTCTCACTCCTTGGAAAATTGCTCCATAGAATGGGTGATGGCCACTCTACCAGCCCTGTTCAATCACCTTCTGTCTGTCTGTCTCTCTCTCTCCTTGTGCAGCCTTTTGCAGCCGGCTATGACGCCTTTGAAGGCAGGCCCAAGATGGCGGCTTGGCGTGGCCGGGTGGAGAAGGCTATTGGGGAGGACCTCTTCCAGGAATCACACAAGCAGCTCTTTAGCCACAAGAGCAGGCTAGCTGACCACATCCCCCCAGAAGGGAAGGAGCAGATGAAGCAACACATCTTGAAGTATGTGGAATGAAGCCCAGGAGGGACCAACCGATTGACCGACCGACCGACCGACCAACCAACCAACCAACCAACCAACCACTCTTAGGGTCTCTTGAAATAAATGCAGAAGGCATGTTAGTATGTGTCGCATAGCTTTGCTTTACTTAAGACGTTAAAAATCCTCTGATTGTAGTCATTCCAGGAGCTTTTCTGGCCCGCTGTAGCTTGAAGGATAGGTCAGATGCAATTCCTAGAGGGACAGAAACAGGATCTTATGTTGCGTCTTCTTCTTGTGCGCTCATGAGAGTGTTTGCCGAGCCTCAGAAATGATCATATGTCCAGAAAAAATGCCTCTGGGGTTTTTTGACCAGCGGCCCGGTGCCACCTCCAGGAGCGTGTGGCCCTCCATCTCTGCCTTGAAATCTGGGTTAGGAGCAGGGCCAGATACTTATGCCCCCAAGCTAAACTTCTCCAAAAAACCTGCTTTGGCTTTTAGACAATTCGTGATTTACTAATCCAAATAAATACAGCCCGTTTCAGGGACAGGAAGACGAGAGTATGCCTTAAGTTCAGAGCTTGGCTCCCCTCCAGCCAACTCAAGACAGCCGGCAGGGCTCCTTGTGGCTTCCTCGTTTCTCTTCACCGCAACCAACACTCACATTGACATTTGCTCCAGACTGCTCATTCGTACTTTATTCCCCGGACAGGCACCTCCTTGTGTTTCCTCCTTGCCAGAACGGATGCTGCGAGGCATACCTTCATTCCTCCAGAAGAAACACAAAAGCTGAAAGTCTTTGGGCGTTGTTGTGTTTCTTTTACAGAAACGTGGCGTGATGCCCTGTTCAGACTTCCTTTTAAGGAAAAAGAAATTGGCAAGTGGCACAGCGCTAAACTGATGTGGCAGCTTATGAAACTATAGCACTTCTCAGGCTGGCTGAAGGAAATGCCAGTAGACCTGGAAAAGTCCTTCGTTATGAAACTATAGCACTTCTCAGGCTGGCCTGCTGCACCCCACTAAAGGAAATACCAACACACCTGGAAAAGTCCTTCACAAGGGAGACCCTCTTATCTCGCCTCTGAACCATTTTTTTCGTCCTGTTTAGCGCTATGTTACAGAAGTGCTAATAGATCAGCTTTAGTGATATAGGATAATTTTTTAATAATCTGTATCTCACGGGCAATGTCATCCTAGGTCGTAAGTGCCACTGCACTTTGGATTGACATCGTTGACCATACATAGCCAGGAAAAAAAAAGGCATGGGAGTGAAATCACTACCAAAATACTGTAACGCTCTGCCAGCAGATCGAAAAGCAATGAATTCCCATTTAAAAAAAAGGCAAGAATTACTCACAATTAGCTGTTCTCTGTGCCGTTGAAAGGAAATACACTGAATTGTTACCCTGCCAACTCCAGCACAGACGGGGTGGGGTGAATAAATTTCAGTGCAGTCACACCATCATTTATTTTATAGGATTATGCATTCCACTGACATTTTAATCGACAAAGGAGAAAGGAGACACGCCATTTAATTTTATGTCATTTATCAGATTTAACCTTACTGTAACCATCACTCTTTTTGGGATGGGGTTGTATTCGTTAAAGTGAAACCCATTTATTACCCTTGGAGATCCTGCGATTCTTTTGATCCCACTTTTGTTCCATTTTTTTAACATTTATAAAATATTTTGAAATGTTAAAATATTGCACCCCTCTCTCTGTTTTTTCCCCCTTCATCTTTCTCCTGTTTCTATTTGGATCAAGCTAACTTTCCCCCTCGTCTACTTCTTTCTTCTAATTGTTCACCACCCACTACAAATAGAACAGAAGGGGTCCAGAGATGCACCCTAAGAAGAACCCCCACAGCGCCTCCTGATGGTTAGCCGCAGAAGTCACGAGCCAGAAGGCCATCTCTTAAAACGGATCAGTGAAAGTCTGCAGCATAATCCACCAGCATCTTCTCAGCACCGATGACAAATGGGTTGCTGACTCAACACCTCCATGAGCATACTTTCACATGCCTGGCTTGGCCCTTTATCAAACGATGCGTAATCCAGAACCGCACCTTTGCGGCTTGTTGCCTGTGCTTGCCTCCCCGGCAACGAGAAGTCTGTTCAAAAGACGACAACACAACCACTCAGCGGCTCCAGGCATTTTGCTGCCTGAGGCCAAGGACAAAAGTCCAAGGACAGGCGCTGAGTGGGTTGGCCACGGTATTTTTGAGGGCAAATGGGCAAGCTTAAAAGCTGCAGACATACTGTCTGGAGCACTGGTTCTTAACCTTGGGTTACTCAGGAGTTTTGGACTGCAACTCCCAGAAGCCTTCACCACCAACTGTCCTGACTGGGGTTTCTGGGAGCTGCAGTTCAAAAGCATCCGAGTAACAAAGGTTAAGAACCACTGGTCTGGAGCACACACAGCTGTTTCCTACATCCAACACAAGGGGAATTATAAGGGCTATCTGGCCCCATCGCCTCCTGGCAAACAGAAGGGGAGAATATGGAGGTAGTGACAGATTTGACTTTCTTGGGCTCCATGATCACTGCAGATGGTGACAGCAGCCACGAAATTAAAAGGCGCCTGCTTCTTGGGAGGAAAGCGATGACAAACCTCGACAGCATCTTCAGAAGCAGAGACATCACCTTGCCGACAAAAGTCTGCGTAGTCAAAGCTACGGTTTTTCCCCGTAGTGATGTATGGAAGTGAGAGCTGGACCCTAAAGAAGGCTGATTGCCAAATAATTAAAGGTGCATGCATATATTTTGCCTATAAAAGGTGGTGAATGTTTGAGTCCTGTTCAGTGGCACAGAACTGGGTTGTGTGTGTGTGGTTCAAGATCTGAAATGTGCTTTTGGATTTTTATTTATTTTATTTTTTATTTTTATTTATTTATTTATAGAACAGGAGGCTTGGCAAGGTGGCTCCTGGGCATATATATGGCACCTTATTGATTTATTGATTGATTGATTGATTGAACAGGAGGCTTGGTAAGGTGGCTCCTGGGCCTATATAAGGCACCCTCCCGTTTCATTCCACTTAAATATATATAAAGTTAAATGTTTCCAAACTGCCCTGACTGCACTCTTGTGTAAAAAAAAAAAAATGTAGATTTCAACCTTTCTGGCCATAAGCAGATCCCACGGCTACTCCTGGGGCAGGAGGATGCTGATTCTCGCCATGAGAATCATCATCCTCACCACCAGCAGCCTCAATGGTTAGGGGGAATCATCCACGCTAGCAAGCCCTCCCTTTAACTTTTTTTTTCTCCTCCCTGCCTGCCTTGCTTCCCACCACGCACCCTGCGCATGCGCGCCAGGCTCAGGAGGGGGCGCTCTAGCCCTCCAGCTTCCGGGGGAGTCTATGGCTCCAGACGTTTGGGAAGGGGAGGGGCCGAGCAAACGAAGCGAGCGAAGACTTCGGAGGCGCGCCTTCCGGAAAATGCCGAAGCCTCCTCCGCCCTGCCCGAACCCTTTATTCGTGCAATGGCTCCGGGAGTGGCGCGACCAAGCGGCCGACCAGGGGCGCCTCCGCAGCCAACGGGCCTACGAGAGGGTAAGCCACGCCCCCTTTTCCTCATGCCGGAGGCCACGCCCCTCCCCGCCTTGGCTAACCACGCCCCCGGTGCTCGCCCCCCCCCCCCCCTCCCAAGCCCCCCCCCCCTGGCCCTCCCA